AAAACTTTGGACACGAGGATGATTTTAAAATTCAACACATACAAGGGGTACCGTTACCTCTTAAGAGGAAGAAAATTATTTCAAAAAACGATAAGAAAAAAGACCACATAAATACATACACACAGACACTATCTAAAAAACGCATATTCAAACTTTTTAGATCACATTTAGTTCCCCTAACACAAGAAATTGGAAACTTAATTTTGAGCGATTGCACACAGAGAAAAATCTGAAGTTCGACTTACAATAAGAAAATAGTTGAGACATTTTGGTGAATGATGCGATTTTTTTTTGTATGCGGCACATAACATTATAGTAACTTGACAAGTGTAATTTTTGCAAATCAAAATGCAGTTAAACTAACCAAAGTTCAGAGTAACCACGACGAATCTATCGTGAGGAGAACTATAAAATATAGTTGCAATGACTACATTCCATTGTAGTAATTACTTCTCCGGCGATAGTTACCGTAACCCATGAAAAATTGTTGAGGACTTTTTGATTATAATTCCATGGTGATGGACTATATAGTCAGAACAATTATATTTTTCTCTCTGTGCAAAGCTTCCATTGGGAAGCAAAAATGGAACGATTTCTAGACCCGAGAAAATAAACCCTCCCATAAATACCACCGAAGAGAAAAAAACCGATATCACTATCTAGTGTTCACTAAATTCTGCACTCACGTCACGACTCACTGACTTGATCACGATATACATCCAAAGTAGTAATCGTGGGTGTCAATCCGGATCTCCCGTACAAAGTCGTAAATGGGATTATACGCTTGTCCACACGCCATGATATACACAGGACACCATTGTAAACCGCAGATATATTTCCTTCAACAATGGCCCCAAAAGAAATTTTATTTCTCCCCGGGCTTCAGAAAATAAAACCATTACGCATATGCAGATAACGAGGACTTGTTGATAAAGTTCATGACCCTGGTTTACTGGGACGAATGAACCATGTACCGAGACTGCATAACAGCGCTCTTTCCTCCTCCAATCGTACGAAATGCGTTTTTCATGTACAATGTAATTTATTTCGTTATAAAAGCAACGGTTGAAAAAAATAGGTTCACGAGCGAGGGGCATTAAATATTTTAATGTATTATCGGGCATGAAAGAATAAAGAACGAATGCAGAGTAATCAACGCTTGTTCACATTAATTAGAAGAGTCTTCAGAGAATACCGAGTAAACCTCTCGCGATTATCTTACCAAGGTTATCTCTCTTTACCAGCCGTAATACTGAGAACAAAAAGAGAAAGGGGGGGATGAAAGCAGGCAGTTCAATGATTTATATGTACATATTCACTTTATTGTGCGTTAATGCAACAGTTGTTTATTACTTTGTACAAAAATTATACATTTGATTTTATACAATTTCAGGAGCCGGTGGAAATCAAACAGATGTCCGCATATCAGACAAGTAACTATTCAATACAGAATAGCAAAAAATACAAACAACAGAGGACATTCGATTCCCATCTTGATTCTCGGTAAATAAAGAATCGACATAAATTATTTTATACTGTTAAATCTTCCCCACTGTACGATAGAAGGAAAATAGAAATTTAAGAAATATTAGACTCGCATCAACGTGTTTGCCATTACAGAAATTATTACAAAAATAATTTTCCCAACTCGACAACAGAAAATGTGTTGAGATGCCACTAATCATAATGGTAGGGAGAGATGCATCGCCATCAATATCAATCTGAATTACTGAGGTCCGAACGCCAGTCGTTCGCGTGCCAGACAAGTAACTATTTAATACGCCACTGCACTGAGTGGATACAAGCCTCGCAATTGTTACCATCATCTACAGCATCGAAATGATTTCCCATAGAATTTATAAAAATTCTTAATTGACGGCTCACAACTTATCTTCAAGAACAGTTTTTAACAAATATTTCTGCATGCAAAAACTCCATATTTTTTAATAAAAACCTCTCCCATAAAACGAATCTCGAATTCGCAAGGAACGTTTCTGTAAGTATTAAGTCAGCTTATTTAGCTCGTGAGATATGTCTCCTCGAATGCTGAATAAAAAATAACCAAATAATTTTCAAAATGCAACCAATTTATTTGAAAAAATTTCCTTTCGCATTTCGCCGATTCCAATGAACGTTTAGTCATTCACGCAAGTGTGATTATTACGATAACTCCGAATCGCTAGGAATCGAACCCTAGTCGTTCGCGTGCCGGGTAAATCACCATATAAATACGTCACTGTACTGAGTGGATACCATGCTCAAAATTTCTATAGTCATCTATAACATCAAAATGACTTCCAAGAATTTTCTCAAAATTCTCAATTGGCGGGCGAAAACTATTCTTCTAGATGAATTCTCAACAAATATTGTTAGATCAAAAAGTAATCTTTATCCATCCATAAAGACCTCTTCCGTAAAAACAATTCCAAACGCAGGAGTCCCCATACAAATTTCGCAAACTCCTTTAGATCTTGAGATATGCCCCTTGACTAGTGAGTAAAAAAAGGAAACAAGCAGGGGTCCGTACCTATCCAACAGAAGGCATGTGACCGTTACTTTTTGCATCATTAGTCTCTTTCTTTTTTTTATTTCTACCAATTCCAGTGGTAGTAAGCTCCCGAATGGATCCGTAGCAATTCCCTATCCTTGTGACAGGCATACAACCGTAACCACCTGCTACTGGGTGTCTACAGGAAAATATTCAACCTTTTAATGAAAAAGATTTATACGGAAGGTTGAATATCTCCGAAACTGCTCGGCCGGTTGCGCCTATCGGAAAAAATATATACCAACCTTCAGTATTGTAAGAGCTAAAATCATACCAAATTTTAAGTTGCTATCCCCATTTTTTATCAAGTTATCGTGTGTAAAGGAATGAAAAAATTAAAAAATTAAAAAAAAAGGGGATATCTCGGAAACTTTGTATGAACGGATACGTATATTTTGATTTATCCTGATAGTGGCTGCCGAGACGAGAATTGAAAAAAAAATGGAATTTGTCAAGTACACTGTTAGAAAATTACTCTTGAAATTTCAAGTAAAAAATATTGAAATTTTTGGCAACGAATAATTTACATGGGATTTCCATTGATTAATCTAAAACTTCTTGTTATTGATAAATCAGTCAATTTTTTTGAATATTTAATGAAATTTGATTTTCAATCTCTTGCAAATTCAATTGAATGTAATGCTTAATTTTCACGATAGGTGTGAAAAGCCAAATTGTTATTGACAATTCAATGATCATTCATCATGAAAAACTTAATTTCATTGAATTTCCAAGATGAATCAGGAATTCCAGGAGCAATTTAGTCTGAAATTGAATTCGAGTTCCGAATATTAAGAATTCCAATGCATCTATTACTTAAATTTCAAAAAATTTCTAACAGTGTAGTTCATGTGATATTTGAAGAAATATATTTACACAAAAAGTTGCATATCTCAAGAACCGCTCGGCCGATTGCGCCCAACCAAAATACTAACCTTCAGTATTATAAGATCTAGAACCATACGAAATTTCAACTTGCTATCTCCTTTTTTCCTTAAGTTATCGTGCGTACAAAATTTTTCACGAAAAACGGCAATGAGACGAGTATTTTGAAAAAAAAATTGAAATCGGTGCAGTAGTTTTTGAGATATTGAGGAAAAAACGAAATTTAAACAAATTTTTATATGCCAGGAACTACTGCGCCGATCGGGTTGAAACGGATTTATGTTGAATTGTCTAAAAATTAATCACCAAAACCCCAAGTTGTCGGATACACTGTTCAAAAATTTTACTGAATTTTCCGGGAAACGACTTGGCATTCGATTTAAGGGGAAAATGTCAATGAAATTTCAATTTTCTCTGAAAATTCAAGTAAAGTCCCATTTTTTTCGCGGCAGGTAAACGGATATTCGATAATTTACATGAATTTTCAAGTGAAAATAAATATTCAGTGCCAAACTCAGTTGAGTTTTCAGGGAATTCCTTCAAAGTTCTTGAAACTCCAGAAATTTTTGAAGGAATTCCTCGAAAATTCAGAGGAATCTGGAATTTAAGAAGAGATTTCTCTGATTTTTCCTGCCTCTTCATTCCCCCGAATAATTAAATTGAAATTTTTACAGTTCCCACCGATTTTTCCCTGAAATGATGGATTTTCAATGACAAAATTCCTTTAAATTTCAGCGGAAATATAATTTGTCAGAAATTTCCAAGACTCCTATAAGAAATTTCTGTGAAAATTTTTTAACAATCTACATAAATACACACATGACCCCAAAAACATCATTTCTTCCCATTTCATAACATTCTAGACCATTTGCAATCAAAATTCAGGGCTTCCATTCGGAAGCAAAAACCACTAATCATGGAAAAACAAAAAAATCACTAATGCAAGTTTTCCCCCAGCGAGAACAATTCAAAGCGACCCGTGAGACAGAACCATCGAATGCGTCAAGCGTCTTCTCCCCCCCCCCCCCC